AAAAAAAAAAAAAAAAAAGACAGATGGGGGAAGTGAAGACCTGGCTTTTGCACTCACTAAAAATTACTCCAGAACTTATTTCCTCCTTGGTCTTCAGTTTTCTCACTTGACAGTTGAGGGGTTGGACCAGATCAGGTGTTGGCACCTTGAGCGCGTATTCCTGTGGTGAGGGGATACTGAGACCAGCTCCTATGCAGCAGGAAGTGGTACCATGATGGATCTGGTGCCTGCTGCGGGTGTGGGAAGTGGGAAGAAAGAGTACCTCCTACCTATTTGCTGTCTTTGGACCAGACAATTCCAAAAAGCCTTCTGGCATGGACACTGAGGTTTCTTCATGCTCGTGTCCAAGTTCACTCCTCTTCCCTCCTGCCTCTTATGTCCTCTCTGTGGTGCGCTGTCCTGGTTCCCCATCTCACTCTGTCTCCCAGGCTGGAGTGCAGTGGCATGATCTTGGCTCACTGCAACCTCTGCCTTCCAGGTTCAAGTGATTCTCGTGCCTCAGTCTCCCGAGTAGCTGGGACTACAGGCACCCGCCACCATACCCGGTTAATCTTTTGATTAAAAGCTTGGGTTGGAGAAGAGATAGAATGAAGGAGGAATTCAGAAAAGAACTTCAGATGCCCTGGTTTATGCCAAGCACACTCACACATTCCTTCTAAGTACACATTCCTTCTAAGGCTCCTCTTGCTGCCCTGGGCTGTTCCTCAGGTCAGGGCTCCTGCAAACACAATGAGGTCTTTCTAGCACTGGGGTATGAGGATGCCTGTGATCTAGATCAGTGGTTGGCATAGACCTGTGGTCCAAATCCAGTATGCTGCCTGTTTTTGTAAATACAACATTATTAGAAAACAGTAAGGCCAAGCACAGTGGCTCACGCCTGTAATCCCAGCACTTTGGGAGGCCGAGGTGGGTGGATCACCTGAGGTCAGGAGTTCGAGATCAGCCTGGCCAACATGGTGAACCCCTGTCTCTACTGAAAAAATAAAAAATTAGCTTGGCATGGTGGCACATGCCTGTAATCCCAGCTACTTGGGAGGCTTAGGCAGGGGAACTGCTTGAACCCAGGAGGTGGAGGTTGCAGTAAGTCGAGATTGCACCACTGCAGCCTGGGCGGCAAAACTGAAACTCGGTCTCAAAAAAAAAAAAAAAGAAAGAAAACAGCCAATATTTACAGTCATTTGTGTACATATTGTCTATGGGTAGGTTTGCGCTACAATGGCAGAGTTGAGTGACCTTACAGAGGTCATCTGACCCACAAAACCTAAGATGTTTACTGTTTGGCCCTTTCCAGCAAAAGTTTGCTGTCCCTGGTGGAGAGTCATCCTGACACCAAATGCAGGAACATTTCACGGCTATGTTGTGTACCTAAGGGGTAGCCAAATCCGTTTGTACAAACCAAATTAACAGGAAGGTAGCATTTTTTAAAAAATACAGCAAACAGGGTGATCATGGTGGCTTACACCTGTAATCCCAGCACTTTGGGAGGCCGAGACAGGCGAATCACTTGAGGTCAGGAGTTCGAGACCAGCCTGGCCAACATGCTAAAACACTGTCTCAAAACAAAACAAAACAA